TCCTAATAAAAAAAAGAAAAGCTACCATTTGAAGCTTGTAAATTTAAAAGTGTGAGCTGAAAGATTTAGCTTAGTGTTTGCTAAATTGGTGAGGGCTGAAATATAGCTGTTCTCATCCCCTAACTTGAGAGTGCTTGTGAAGTGCTCAGAGACTACAGGCCTGAGTTATGCTTAACCTATTAGTTAAGCAGGAACCCGTGCTTCACTAATAACCCATTTAAACAAAATCCCCGTAAAGAGTTCAGTGTAAATGAAATTGCTTAATTCTCCAATCAGTCCAGAGGGTTCATGAAACACACAGGTAGCAAATGTGTCCAGGCTGTGAGCCCCTTAGTCTCCACCCCAGGGTATATGGGAAGCTTTTATAGAAATTATTTATACACAAGCAAATCTAACTCATTCCAAGCATAGACACATAACATTTTTGTGAGTAAAGTTAAAATTCTAATTATTAAATAGTATTTAATATCAGCTTGTAGTAAATGTTATTTCAAAACGTTGTTGGGAAAATTAAAATGATGTTAATAAAAATGAAGTAACAGGGATTTTTAAGGATGAAAGGTAGATTTCTGTGGGAATTTTTGGATATTTGGCTTCATAGCTCGTGTCTCAGGGACAGTTCCTAAACACTACAGATGAATGAGAGAGCCTCCCGATGAGGCATCTGGGCCACACTCACACACCCCAGGCTGGCAGTGGTTTCTTTCACTTGGTTGCCACCCAGGCACAGAGAATCAGGTTTCGGTTTTGGGGAGGACACATGCAATGTCCAGAAACAGGTTCCACCCTGTACCCGTCCAATGCTAGGGTCTTCTGAAGCCTGTGCAGGGCCTTCTACAATTGCAGAGTTGCTCACAGTGAGCCATCTGCTGAGTCTTGGTCCCTCATCTGCTTGTTGAGGTCAGGAGGAAGCCATGTAGCAACTTGTTGAATGTCATACCGGTGAATTGGAAATATCCCATTTCCCCTACCACCTGTTCATCAAAACATATCTGCTGGCATGCAAGGAAGACCTTGACACTTTAAATGCCTGAAGGTTCTACAAGCTAGCTTGGGCATATTGGGTAGAAAGTACAGTGGCAGCCAGGTTCTGGGACCTAAGACTTCAGGAACTCAGAATTACCGAGGTTTTCTGTACATGTCTAAGAGGTGAAACTCCAATTGGACCACACATTAGGGATTCTCAAGTGTCTTTGGCTTTCTCTTGGCACATCTAGGAAGAGGCTTATAGTCTTATAGAACAGGGTAGCTGCACCCAGGGAACTACACACAGTGCAGCAGTGTAGGAGACAAAAGGAGGCCATCTTCACTGTGTGCACAATAGGCCAGAGGTTCAGAGTAGAACTGCCTCCAATCCTCAATGCATACTTTGTCAGGTCCCATCCCTGTATACATGTCTTTGTCATTTTCACAGCTAGTGACATGAAACCACATATAGGACAAAGGGAAGACTTGGGTGCATAGACTAGTGACAGTTCTGAAGGTCACTGTATGTTTGTTCTGTGTTAGTGTTCTGAGGAACAAAGCCCAAATTACCTGACAGTGGCACAAAAATGTCAGCTGGGCTTGGATCCCTGTTGTTAGCAATCCAATATTCAGATAACACTTGTGCTCAGTGCCAAGAGGGTGTCGCTCAGAGGAACCAATGCAATGTTTCCGTTAGACACCTGGGAGTCTTTCAATCATCATTGTCATTTTGCCCTGGCTGCCAGGAGACTCATCCTGATTTTAGTACTGTATGACCCATGACATATCCTGCATTCCTGACAAACTATGCCTCTATTTCCTTTATATGTTATATAACTTAGGTTTCAATTTACCACTTAATTGTGCAGTTGGTCACAGGTCTACCAGAGACCATGGATTGCTATGAATTACAACAGAAACAAATACCTATAAGCAGTTTATCTGTTTGTTAAGACACAATATAGGAATTGATATAAAACACCTCTAAATGCATATTATAATCTTACTCTGACCCTAATACTTAATTCTAAATATTAAATTGTGGATTACTTTCTCAGGTTACTGTCTTCTTTCCCAGGTTTTATCTTGTGGTTGTTTCTTCTCTATTACCCATTTCTCCGAAATCCACATCCTTGTCTCCATCAGCCCAGGACACCCATCCTTCCCATCTGGTTTTACAGATAGGGTTAAGCACCTACAAGGAGACTGACCAGTGTGCACAGAGCCTCACCCGAATGTGCTTAGAAAGCACCTGGGCAGCAAATGAAAAGGGTGAGAAAGGATTGATTCTCAGGAATTTCCTTAATTAAAATAAAGGACTATATTAGGCACCATTTTATCATTGGGTAGTTATTTCCCCCAGATATTTATTTATATATTTATTTTAAAACTTGAACTGCCCACATCTGCCTCAAATTATTTTGTGCATGTTCAAAGAGACATTTCAACATATTAAAATAACACGGTGGGCTAAGGGGACAATAGAAGTGGGTTGAAATTACAGCCTTCAGGAGACTGTATTTGGCAAGAAATACATTGCTAAAAGGATTAAAAGGGCATAGAATTCCATCCAACCAAGCTGTGGCTCCCATGTCTCTCTACCCTTGACAAGTGCCGTGTCTAAGTCACACCAGACATGACCACCAGGCACTGGCATCGCAACTGCCCTGGTGGGCTGTGTGCAGTTGCAATGAGAATGGGCACGTCTCCGGAGAAGGAAATACTGCAGACAGTAGTTATTTTAAAACCAGAAAATTCAAAGCTAGACACAACCAAAATCCTAAAATTGACATACCAGCAGCCCTAAGATGTTAAAATGTATTATCTCTCAGCTTTGCTCAGCAGTTCTCATTGTGGCCTGAGGACCCTGGAGGCTACAGCCACTCAGATCCCTGTCCTGAGGCTTCAGGTCATCAGTGGTACAGAAGAAACCAGAATCCAGGTCTCCAGACTTAAGCAATTTGTTTCCCCCCCTACCACACTACTTGTGTACCTTCTAGTGAGCATTTCTTCTCAAACAGGAGGGAATGAGTCAGGATAAAATAGCACTACCATTTCTGTGTCATCAGGCTTGTTGGGAACTTTTCTACTGGACACAGGTCTGTGTCTTTCCCCACAGTCCACCTGTTTCATGCCAGAATCAACATTGAAATAGAATATGAGGCCCAGACTGCTTTCAGGTCTCCCTCAGAACCCACGAGTAAGCAAAGAAATAGATCATGGAAGACATGAATACACATCATTCATGACCACATCAACCCATACCTTCCAGGAAATCACCTTGTGAAGAGTCTAAACGTGTAATAGAGATGGTAAGAGAAGAGAGAGCTAGTCATCTGACTTGACCGTGCTCACTGTGGACAAGCCTTGAGATGGCACAACAGAACTGATTTGTGGAGCAATTATTTGTTCTCAGAATAAAAACCAAAGAATGTTTGCAATTATTCTTGAAGATTTTCAAGTCAAAATAATCTTTAAGATCTTTCTCCTTCCTTCCTTCCTTCCTTCCTTCCTTCTTTCCTTCCTTCCTTCCTTTCATTCTTTCTTTCTTTCCTTCTTTTTTCTTTCACCTTTTCTTCTTTTACAAAACTCTGACCATGAAATGATATCTAGCACAATCCCAGTTAAAATCTGTATAACCAAATGTAATAATTTCTTTTTCTAACAATGTGATAAACACTAAATATCATCAATAAGGAGATGATTAGGAGAAAGTAGATACTACTCACAGTTTGCCGACTATTTTTTTCTGTTGGACAAACAGTACAGTCTTTAAGCACATATACTAAGACCTTACATGTGTATCTCTCCACAAAGCAATGTTTGCATCTTAGTTATCCATCTCATTCTATGATTCAGCAACTTACTATTTTATATTGTATGAACAGTGATATGACACATTAAACTTTGTAATTGGAAACAAAACATTCCTAGAGAAAAGTGGCCTCTGTGTCCTTTAGTATGTCCTGGGGAGGCCAGACAGTGATCTTGTGATCAGTGATCAGTGACGCGCACTCACTAAGCAATCTCATGTACTCTTCTGTGCCAGCATGGAGATCTAGGGGAGATTCATACATTTTCCTTTAATTCTTTTGCAAAGCGACAATCAAAATTGTAGCTTGATTTCACCCACAAGTGAATGTTTCACTGGAGAGGAAACAGAGAATGAGGACAAAAGAAAGATCACCCTGACTATCCCCAGAGCACTCAACTCTGATGACGTCAGTCTGGCTGTGGAAAGTTTGTAGACAAGTATGACCTTATTCCTTACAACTTGACTTGTGAAAAATAAGTGAGAACAATATCATTACAACTAGGAAGCACTCCTCACCTAGCATGTCTGGGACTGTCATACAGCAGCATCCCCCATGCCTCCTGTCAGAGCAGATGTGAAGCAAACCTAAGTGTGACAGGGGTGTGTAAGGTGCTCTTGTTGTGGTGCATTTTTAGATACCTCTGTTCCACATGTGCTTCCTAGTCCTTGCCATTAGGGATGTGAAACCCCAGTATTTGCAGGAGTAGCAGGACCATCTGTTCCCAGGACTAGGAGTGTGATCTGTTCTAACTTTGACCCCCTGTGCGAGCAATCACTGCAGTTGTCTGGGTATCATTTCAGTCTGTGCATCCCAGCAGAAGATCTCTTAGGTGACAGGACCAAAGTTACTACAGAAAGCTCAGCAGGTCTTGTGCTAGTTTAACTTTGGAGTCTCACCATCCTCAGCTCATCGAGGGAGAACTGAGGAGACAAGGGTAAGAGTTCCTCATGGATCGTAGGAAGCCCCAAGCACTCAGTATGCTGAGCATGGGCTCCCAGGTAAGAATGTGAGACTCATCATAATTTGTGCCAATTTGTATATTGTCAACATTGTGCTTATGCTTTGAGAACCGTGTAGGAGATGGAAGGACATGAAGAAGTGAAAGAGGACAAGGATGGCATGCATTATATCCCCGAACACCTACCCACATGTCTTCACTTGCATTGGGTCTCTAAACAAGCCTCTTAGACAGCACATTGTGAAAAAGGCAGGCATTACCTTCTATGTCGTGCATATTTGCCACTGACGTGACCGCTACCGTCGCAGCCTGGAGTGGGACAGCTGCAACAGGAAAGAGCTCGTTATATAGCTGACTGGGATTCTGTGGGCACTGATGGTGATGGACCTCCAAGAGAGAGGAAGAGAGGGGAGAAAGGGAAGGAGGGAGCGAGGGAGGGGGGAGAGGGGAAGGAGAGAGAGAGAGACAGCAAGAGAGAGAGAGAGAGAGAGAGAGAGAGAGAGAGAGAGAGAGAGAAGGAAGAAGAAGAAGGAGGAGGAGGCAGAGGCAGACAGAGAGAGAGACGGACAAAAAGACAGACAGAAACAGAAAGAGACGACCAAGGGAGGATCTCTTTTTCAGGGGAGCTAGTTTCATATAGCATACAGCATATAGCATATAGCATATAGCATACAGCATATAGCATATAGCATATAGCATATAGCATATAGCAAGCCATGAGCAAGTTGCCCATGAATCTTTAAATACAGTGCACCCATTCAGAGGCAAATTTTCTAAACTGCTGCTGGGGATGCCTTCCACCCACAAAGCACTAACCTGAACAGCTCTTGTATGGCTGGCTCCACAGGAACTGCAGAAAGATGGAAAACAGATAAAAATTTATCATGTGTCACAGGTACTCTTCTTCCATGGAAAATTACCAAAAGGTTGGTCAGTGTGAACTGCTATAGCAGTTCTGCAGGATAAGGGCTACCTAGCCAGCCTCAGGGGCATAGGGGAATTCAGACTTACCTCGAACCCCTTTGGACCGTGTGCGATGGCGCTTCTCCTCAGCGTCCACGTCCATCTGGGAATAGATTTTTAGGTGGTTAGTGTCCTTGTCCAGTGAATTCAGACAGCTGTGTGTGGCACTTCTGCTGGCACTGGTACTGTAGTCATAGGCCCTTAATCCTGTGTAGCTCTATAAAGTCCATAGGGCAGCATGGATAAGCAAGGGCTGGACAGTCTTAAGTGTGTTCATTTAAGGGTGACAAGGAAGCCCGGATCTGGTAACCACTGGGCTTCTGCACTCTTCAGCCACAGATTTGGATGGATCTTGAGGGATCCAGCTCTCCTCTTAAAGGTTTCATTAGAACACATTTGGGTGTCTGCATTGTATTTTGTACCAAGAACAAAGAAGATACCCAATTATGTTTACAAAAGCAAAAGTATTTAGATTGTTCTTATAGATGACTGGATTAATATGATAAAGAGTTTAGAGAAAAGAGGTGAGCAGAAAGTCATTCATACCTTTGAAGCTTCGTTTCCATGATGTTCAATCTAACGTGTCCAGGTTCATTTTAGGTACAAAGACCTATGCCCATGGCAGAGAACACACTATGTACATGATATTTGCCATGGAAAAGAAGCCCCTGATGGCATGTGACAGTCTGCTAGCCTTTCTCCTCTCTGATAAGCCCTTAGTCATATTAAATGTCCAAGTTCTGCTTCATTAGAACCCTGCATCAATCTTGTTTATCAGTGAAAAACCCTGAAGTTCTGACTCATGGTGGGAAAGCCATACCTGCTCTAAATGTCCCTTTTAAGCCACAAGGATGGACAACCATAAGGTGGATGTTTACTAATATCTTATTCACCAAATACCTAAACAATATATGAATACACTAGACATGAATATAAATTCACCCAATAGGTATGTATTGGATTCTACTCAGTAAGACAGAGGTGCTGATAAAAGACAGTGATGCTAAAACACAAACAGTAAAAACACCTCTCAGCTTACTGGATGATCATCTGTCAACTCCATCTGTGATTTACCATCACCAGGACGGACAGACTAAATTCCTGGGCAGAAGAGGGGGACATTATGACATATTCCATGCATTGTCCAATGTATCATGTATCAAAGCCACTTACTCCATGGAAAGAGTTACAAAGACATGTTAGAGTAAAGCACCCAAAAGATGCACATGGCCTTGTAGAGGCATAGCTTAGTGGGTATACCTGCCCTTTGCTCCAGCTTGAAGTGTCTGCACTTACTCTCTATGGATACAATGTGGTGACACCAGAAGACCTCATATAATAAGAAACATAAGCTCATTCAATGAATTTAATATCTATTCGTGAGACTTGTCTGCTTCAGATACAACACCACATCCAATTTAGTAAATGAAAGATAGCTTCAGAAAGGAAGAGCTCATGGAAATTACATGTTCATAGAATGCTGTGGTACCTGGGACTCATATATCCATACATGGAAAGAACCTGTAACTCATCCCTGCACAAAGGTATTTGAAGGGTTGTTAATGGACAGATAGGTGGGTGGTGGGAGAATAGATGGATGGATGGATAAAGCCATTTTCTGAGAAACTGTAGGTCTAGCAGTAACAAAAGATAGGCAATGTATTGAAAGGAATACCTCAGGTATCAAAGAGGAAGAATGGCACTTGAAGGGACACTGTGAGGCCAGGAGGAGCAAGATGGGTACAACTAGCCAGAGGCCATGGTAGCATGAGTGGGTAAGTCATAGAACATTATGGAGAAAAGAGTGACTTAGCTACACTCTGAGAAGATGGTTGAAAAGATTAGATTAAGTGGACTTACGTGATTACCTAGACAGGCCAGGCTGGGATGCTGCCCCGACTAACCTTGTGAACTGGATCCTTATTCCTAAAACATATCTGTCTGGAGGGGTGGTGGATACAATAAAGGCACCTAAGAGACTGTTGAGGGGGCTGCACATGGTATGGAGTTTTATGGGCATTTATTGGGCATCATGCTATTGGGCATCATGGCCTCTGTCCAGTTATTGCCTGAGCATTAAATATCTGAATGCTGTCTCAGTGTGTGGGCCATAATTTAAATAGCACCCTAAGAGACAGACACACAGAGGCTCTAAAATTGCTATTTAAGATGAGATTTCAAAATACAGCAAAATTTTAGCAAAGTTGTTCTGGACCCATGAGACAAGTGAGTAAAGCCTGTGGTGAGGTGCAAACAATGTATCTTCTAAGACCTTGTGAAGTTGTCCAGGAGAGAGGGAGTTGTGGGAGGGGGCTTTTAAAATCCTGTAAGGAATTTAAAATTGCAGTATAAATGTGAGGGTAAATTGAGCTGAGAAACACTCTCATCTGGGGATAGTAAAATCTGTGGTGAAGGGTAGAGGAACTGATGTTTGAAGTTAATCATGTTTCTGGTTAAAACAGGATAGGAAGAAGATATTCCAGACAAAGGATATAGTACATACAAAACCCTCCAGGTCATACTCTAGGGTTCAGGAAGGGTTACCCTCTACAGGGTCTGTCCCTGATTTCAGAAGGGAGCAGCTACCACTTTGTCTGGCACATTTATTCACAATCTGGTGAGCAAACCTGCATTTATAATGCCCCTGGCTGTAGTTCAGGAAACCCAAGGTATGGCAGTCCCTGCTCTTCTCCATGGGCATGGGATGTTCCGGAAGACTGGCTTCCTCATCTAATGGCTCCTTTATTTTTGTATTTAAATTGATAATCCTTTCTGTGTTGCTCCTGCTGCTGCTGCTGCGAGTGTTGTTGTAAATATTGACAAGGTCATGTGATGTAAACCTGGCTGGGCTGGAACTCACTATGTAGTGTCTGCTTCAACATGCTGGATTAAATGCATGTGCTACCATGCCTAGCCCTTTCTGTATTTTTATTTGTTTTACACATACAAGTCAATTCTGCCTCAGGAAATGGACAGATCTTTTCCCATTAGTTGCTTATCATGTAATCACACTACTCCAGCTATGCAGAAAGGCCTTGCTTGTCCTGTGCTAAAACCTACTTCCCCACCAACATCATCACAGGTTGGTTTTACTTTTCCTCTCTCCTCCTCTGGTCCTGCTGGTTTATCCATCACTAACCCTGTAGGAATGACAGTGGTTCTAGAATGTGCTTTATTTTCTATCAAACAACATTTGTTGCAATGATGATTAAGTGATAAATATATTTTTAAAATGTCTAACCCAACATTCTACATACAGCAAACACTAAATAAATGGTGAGTGTCCTTTTGACTAAGTGTGTGTTTTACCACATGGTAAAACGTTTCAAATTTGTCTGTATTCTATCCTTACAGATGCTCAGCAAGTGCCAGCAATATGGCTCAGATTCAGCATAATGCATATACTGTGCAATGGCATTTTCTAATGTCACACCTAACAGTGTGCAGTCACAGTCTAGACACTCCTGCAGGCTCCTCACATACTCTTTAGGTTCTAGGCTCTGCATCCCCTGCCATCTTGGAAAGGTGGCTGGTTTACCTCTGATAACCCCTCCACTGGGCACCATCAATGGCAAACAGAGTCAGGACTGTCCACTACTCAGGGGCTTTTAGCTCAAGCTGTGGGGCTTCCTTAGCAGCAGCCAGGATGGCTCTGTGATCCCACACCCCAGCTTTGCCCTCCCTGTGACTGGATGTGCTTACCCCACTCATTGCCTGGGTCTCCAGTACCCCTCTCAGCATGTACATTAGGAAATCCACATGGAAAGATCTACTTTAGCATCCATTCTTTTCCCCTTTAAGTCTGTTTATTTTTAAACTATGATAGATTTTTCTAAAGAACTTTAAGTAGTTTTAAACTTATGTCTTGAGTTTAAGAAAGTGGTTTTGTGCCAACAGAAACTATAGGAATGAAGTAGTAAAGAAAGAGCCTGTGACTTATTTTATAGCACATAAACTTTACATTTGGAATCAGGATTTATCTTATTACTTAGATATTAGCTTTTCCAAGACACAGGTTGGGCCTTAGTAAAGAAGTGATATTTTAAAGGCATTATATTTTCAGGCAGTCTGTGGAATCCGTGAGAGCTTACGGAGGCTGGTTTCTGTACTGACTACCTGCAGGTTATAACTGTGGGGCAGGAAGAAGCTGTATTTTGGTCACTGGGATTGTGGAATCCAAGCTTTCTATATCTCTACACGTGGACCTTGTCTTCCTTCCATAGTGCTCCTTGTAGGACAGGACCAGAGGAGGTCCTGAATTGTAAGCGGGATGTAGGTAGCTTTGAGAAGAGAATGAGAGAGCAGAGATGTAGGAGGATGGAGAACCACACAGGTATGGAGAGCACTCGTGGGGAACAACTTATAAACTTATAATTAGGTTAGCTAATTGGGATACAACTCTCTTTGTATGGGCATCTTGTTATTAATCATTATCAAACATATAAAGCCTTTGATTGAACTATAAGAATTAGAGTTTCATTCTCTTACTGGGCCTGCATGGATGGTGGAATGGTCTGGGCACTGCCCAGCCTTGCGGAGACAGCGTGGAAGATTGGCAGAGCCATCTCTCATGCTGGCGTCTTGTGGGTGGCAGGGCTGGTGTTTCTGGCAGGCCGGTTCTAGCTGCAGCACACACGTGGCCTCTGGCCTAGAAACATGGCAGCTGGGCCAGGCAGAGCCGCCTCAGCTTAGATAGTCAGCTTGAACCAGAGGCCGATTTTAAATAATTACTACAACAAAGTTATCATCTTTGCCAATTAGCGGACCCTGTCTTCAGCTCTTGCTATTTAAATCTGTTTCACCGCTGGTTAGACACACTAGAAGGACAGATTAGAGAAGGGGCAGAGGCCAAGTTGTATAGAAGATATGATCAGGAAAAAGCAGAAACCCTGGAGAGAAGAGGTGTGAGGATGCAAGTGTGTGGGTTGTTGTGCCCAGCTAGCACCTGTACTGCAAGTCACTGTCTCTTAGGTAACAGACATACCGTGTATACAGCTCCACAACAGAACATGTGCCCAAACTCTGCTCTGGCTCACAGAAATTTGGATCATAAAACCCATCTGTGAAGGTCAGCAAGAAAGAAATGATGCTTTGGTCACTCCT